TGTAAAAACTTCAATTGAATTTCAATAAAGTTAAAGGCATGGCCTCACCGTTAATATTTAAAAAAAAAAAAAAAGAAAGTGTCTTGAGAGGTTGTTTGGTTCAGAGTTTGTAGTGAGTTGGTTTGTAAATTATTTGTAGTTTTTTTGTTATTTTTTTGAGCTGCTATCTTATGCCTATATACTGGGTTAGTAAAAATGTAAAGGTCCTTAGGACCACTTTTGCTAAAATATAAGTTGTTTGTTGCAATGCTGTTTTCAATGTTATTGTAATTCAGAGCTGTTAGTAAAAATTATTTCTTAAGATTTGCACCTCTTTTAGGTCATGTTTACTGTATAGAACAAGTTAATTAATGGCCCAATGTCAGTTTACTTGGTAGTTATTGCTCTATTTTTAATATAAGATTTTTTCTTCTTTTGTTCAGCTTTGGTAAAGTGATCTATAAAAAGAGTTCTCTAATAAATTACTATTAGTAATAAGAATATTATTTTGCATAAGTAAAATAAAATGAATTAAGTAATCAAATTATTTTGAATTATAAATCTTAATATAATACCTACTTACAGCATTGTATTAAGGATTTTCTAATAAAACTGAATTTTCTTAAAAGCATTTTTGTTAGAAATTTAAAAATATGAATTAAAAGAGATAATATTTGAGTGAATTCTTTAAAGTCAAAATATGTTTATCAACCATTGAATAGGATTAGAAAAAGGATTTTGTGCAATTCTCTATTTAATAGTATAATCTTAAATTTTTTTTTTATCTATTTCAAATTCTCAAGCTTTAAAATAAAAATATTTTTTAAAAGAATACAAACAGATTTATATATCAAAGATTATAAGTTGCTAAACTAAAAAAAAATTATAATAAAAACTTTAAACTTTAAATAAGAACATCATATTAAACATCAATTGTAGATATTAATACTCCTGTTGCTATGTAATATGAACTCTCAAATAAGTAAGTTTAAAAAAAAAATTTCAATATACAAAAACTATTGTCCAATTATATCTGTCTTAAAAACATTGTATGTTCTTTTGAATTATTATATGTTCTTCTTTTAATTCATCTTTTTTGTACACAATTAATATTATCCATCATTTTATATATTTATTTTGAACCTTTAAGCAAAGCTTTTATATGCTGAAAATTAACTGCCTCATACTCTTTCTATATATGTGAAAAAAATATTTGTGCTTTTCAACCTCTTTAGCAAATTCTTCTGAAGATAATTCTATAATATTATTTTTATCATACTTATTTGTTTCAAGCAATATTCTTTCTAATAGTATATTGCTATTAGATACAACTGATTCTTGCAAACTTTTATTATTTCCAAATTGCCAAAATGAATACTTGCATTTTCGATAAAATTCATTATACAATAACCTTTTTAATGCACTATCAATCATATGAATTAAATGCTTACATATTAGAAATTGACTACAGAGAAAAGATGAACAACTACAAATCCATCTGTTTAAGTCAATAAAGTATTTTTCTTTAGCATTTTTATTAATTTTTTTGTGCAATATAATTTCTATTCTTGTTTAAAGCTTTCTTACCAGTAAGAATTTGATCATTTTGTGCATAATTGATAAAATTAAATATTCTGATTAGAAAGCACTTTTTCACAAAAAACATAAACTATATAGTTAAAACATGGTCAATTAAACTAATATAAATAGTTATGCTTAACTATCTTCTAATGAATAAAAAGTTGATTACTTTGTGTTTACAATCTCCAATAGTTTGTTGAATACCAGAAAGAATAAAAATAGTTCCAAAGTTATAGATTTTTGTGTTCTATACAGAATTGATAAATTTTATACACAGCCTTTTTCATATTTCTTTAGGTATTAAAAAAGAACCATCTTTATTAATAAAAATAAAAGAATGCATATTAAAATGTTTCTTTATTAATGAAAAAACATCTTTTTGATATTGTGCTACACAAATAATATCTGATTCATTTCTTGGAATAAAGTTTGGATCAATAAATAAAAATAATTTTAAATCAATTTCCTTAAATATATAATATTATTCTAGTTTTTGACTTGATCTTATTTTAGTTAAAATAGCTTTTTTCATATACTACAAACATAACTAAACATCAGATTCTGGCCAAATTTTTTGGACTGCACTTATTTCTGAAAAATCTTTGTCAGTAAAAATATACTTTGGAATTAGGCCAAAATTTCTAAATTGAAATAAAAATTTATCTAAAATAAATGTCTTTGTAGATTCAATTTCATCTGGTTTAATTTTTAAAACAAGATATCCTAACACAAAGTCTGTTCTATTCTTTTCTGCAATTAAACTATAAAGTTCAAAATTTTTTTTAAATGTTATGTATATAGCATCTAAGTAAACTTCTTTTGTATCTTTTAATTCATCTAAGAGAGATGTAAAAAAAGCAATCACTACTAAAGTATTTAATGTTTTTGCAATCAATAGTTTATAATTTTTTGACTAGTATCTATTTTGAATAAGACTTATAACTAACTTTATTGGATTTTCATGTTGTTAATATTATGATCAGATAAAATGATTCTACCAGTAATAAATTTGTTTGCCTGTAATATTTTTCATATTAAATTTAGTAGAAAGATAAGTTCACAATTGTAGTAGATCAAAATTTTTGTTCTGTAGAATTTCAGCATTAATATCTTCAAAAACATTTCTTGATTTGAAGGTTGTTTATAAAATATCTTATGTTGAATTTTTATATTTGCATATGATTTTAAAAAATCAGTTCATATAATAAAATATTTATTACAATTATATCTTATTATTCTTTTATAGTTTGAAGGCTTGTAATTATTAAACTTTCAGATTGATTACATTTATAATATATTGTGCTAATTTGTTTAAGCATATTTTTTTAATAATTGGCTTTAATAAAACTAAAAATAATTTAATTATGTTCATATTAAAATAAATTAAAAAAATTAAATAATAGATAGTATGTTAAACTATAAACAAATATACATATTGCAAATTAATCTATATTCTATATTATTTATACTTATTTTCACTTGTATTCATTTCTAGTTTCAACTTGTTCACAAATAAATCTTGTGATTTTATTTAATGATTGATCTAATATTTTAAATTGAACAGCAATTTCAAATTTTTCTGTACTTTTTGTTCTTGCAATTTCATTAATAATTTGAGAAAGAACACTTATATCTACTTTAAAAATAGCATTATCTTCTATAAAATTATTATTGTTGACATTACTTTGGTTAATAAATAAATTAGTCAAATTATCAATAAGCAAATTATTTGAATTATTAACTTGACATGTAATTTCAATTAATGGTTTCTTAAAATTAGAATGCTTTGTATTTTGATATTTAAGTTGCTATTTATTTAAACAAGAATTTTTTTTTTTTTTAACTTAAGCAGTCATGCTAGTACTTTATTAGAATTCTTGAAACTATACAAATTACAGAGAATT